AACAATCCTAAACATACAGCCACAGTGACTGAAGAGCTTTTAGGGTGAAGAGGAGGAATATCCACGACTGAATGAATCAATCAACTGATCTGTGCGGTTACTTCTAAACCCCTATATTTTGGGCACTATGTGTTAAAAGAGCTATGTCTCCCACATAGTTCTTTCTATACTCATGTAAACCTACTCTATGACCTTGGCACTTTAATGTAGTATTTTGTTATTATTTCTAATCAAATGTGCTGAAGGACAGACACAGGTTGGCAAAAAATGTCTGTCTAAATACTTATGGTCTGGACTGTACACAGACCATACAGTGTGTACAGCAATGCACTGTGGCACTTATAAAGGTAAAACACCTACTGCCACCTTGTTTTATACATATTAGTCCGACTATCACTGCAGTTACTCTATCATTCAGTTAAGCTGTACATATAACAGTTCTATAGAGCATCTGTATTTGTACAAATATACAGTAATAAAGCAGCAAAAGCACTATTAAAATCTGGCGTTTCCTTGTTTTTTTCATAGTCGGTTCATGCAGCAAAAGACTGCATGAACCGACTATCCCCACTCTCATATTCTCAAGTTTCTCCTAAATTACCCAGAATATAAACAATAACCTTTTGAAGTTCAAAGTGTACATTTAAGAATTTAACTAAAACTCCTCCAGGTTGTAGTGGATGTGTGGAGGAGGTTTGTTTTCTAGTAACTGTAGGTGCTTCCTGTTCAGGTATTTGTGGTTAATGAGTGTCCATTTAAATCGTTAAGCATTCGCAGTAAAATAAAACAACCCTGTTCCATTTTGTTCTTTTACTCACTTTGATGTGTCTCCAGGTCAGGTTTGTCTACACCAAATCCTTCCACAGAGGCTGTATTTGTACCAGGAGAAATCAACCCGAGTGACTGTCCACATTTCACTGCAGTTATGTGACAGGAAGGCTATTAAAAAGATTTCATGTCAGGTTAGTGACTTGACCTTCCACATTATCGGTACAGAAGAGGGCGTGGTGAAGTTAATGACTGACACAGGGAACAGGATGATCACAAACAGAAATCAATCAAATGCTATTGTGTGATTTCAGCAGACTCTTTATTTGATATAAAGGGGCACAGCTGATAAAGTGTTAGGTGTCAGGTGGTAGCAGTGTATGAAGCGTGTGAAACTCTAACATACTGAAATGTGCACAACAAACATCCTCCAGTAGGCTTGGCTTTTAGGAGACTGACTAATGTTCAAGCTGGTCATAATGCTTTGGAGAGATTCTGTTCCATATTTGGTCGCAAAAAAATTAACCTGAACAATTTTTTTGTGTTGAAATTTACCTAAAGTCAGGTAACATCTGTGGTAACTATGCATTCGATAGCTGCACAGTTAATAACAATACAGTGAAGTCAAAAGACAAAATACAGAAATGCTTGGTCAACTTATATATGTGACAGTATCATAATCCAAAGTTTTCTTCTGGCTGTGAATGAAGCAGAACAGCACTGATGGACGCACCAGGCAGAGGTGGGTGACTGAGCGGAGAGAGACTCCTAGGCACTTCAGCAGTGAATTTTACTTGAGTGAAAGTCTGAATGTGATGTGTTTCTTCTGGTTAGTGAAGTTGAACAAGTGCTCTTCAGAATGATCAGTTCATTCACAGGGCTGGTGCACCAACATCCCACCATCTTCTTGTGTTTATTGCAGAAAAAAAGCTTCCTCAGTAAGGAAGGCAAAGACACTAAAACACATAGTAAAAGGCCACTAGTTTATACTATATATGAAAGCTACCAAAAAGGTTTCTTTTTATTGAAATATTTGGCCAGATTTTTATGGATCATGTGAAAAGGGATTTAGAATGTGAAATTATTTAAACACAAAACATGGTAAATACTCCTAGATGCTCAGCGTGTAACAGACAACAGACAGCGTGGATGCTCAAATCTGCCGAAGATAAAATACTGTCCCCTTCTGTGTGGATTCAAAAGGCTACAATAAATTACTAAAAAAAAAATCATCAAAATAAAAACAAAACAGAATGGCATGAAAAACATTAGATACAGTGGTTGGCTGATGCCAGGAAAAGCAGCATCTTTCAAAAAGGAGTTTCTTATGAAAGCTGTCAGTCCAGGTGATGCTATGACAGTTCAGTTCAGGAGAAGTGAAGTGGAAGGAAAATGCAACAGGCCTGGAGCCAAACATGCTGATTTTCTCTGCAGGCTCTCATCTTTGTCTCCCTCTATCGAACACTGGGCTCAACTGTAACTTGGAAAAACTGCATCAGTTTCTGTCTGACTTCTTTACAAGGACAGTCTCTGTTCAATGGGCAGACTGTCCATCAGACACTTGAGCTGCTCCTCACCAAGCTTGATTTTGTCCTCAAGCTTGCGCTGCTCGATGATAAGCGCAGACTTCATTTTGACAAAGTGTTCGTAGTCTGCAAGGCTGTCCTCCTGCAGGTAGTTGGCCAGGATGTCATAAACCACACGTTCCCTGCGGTCCAGGTTTTCTTTCAGCTCCTTAGCATCCTCGTACTGTTGAATCAATAGCTTCCTCTTCTCGATCAACGTACGCTGGAGAAGGAAAAACACATTTTGGTGTGTAAGGGTGCAAAGATCTACCAACTAGCCATCTGGTTAGACACGTAAGATTTGTATTTACTAACCCTCTCCTCAGGAGTAGCGTCCTCATCCAGACTGTTGAGAGCGTTCTCCACTCTGGCCAGACGACCTGACAGCGACAGAAGAAGGCTCACCACTTTGTCCAGGTCCCCGACAAACATCTTGAACTTGTCTAGCTCGTTGGGTTTGCAGACCTGCTGGACTCGGGCTTCCACTTCGTCTCCAAGAGTGTTGTTGTCCAAAATGTCTTCCTGAAGACTCTCCCTGGCCTCCCGCAACACCAGGAGCTTTTTGCTGAGACTGTCAATCAGCTCTTGCTGCATGAAAACAGAACATACAAAACTGGGTGATTAATAATGCTGACTGTAGCAAAAAGGTTCACAAAGAACTTTAGTCCAAAATAGTGCAATAGGCAAAGATCACCAAGGAATTACAAATATGGCAAATTGATCCTATAATCAAATCAACATTTATTTATATATCACTTAAAAACCTACAAGTCAACCAAAGTCCTTTATGCAAAATAACAAAAATCAAAAGTATCAAATACACAAAATTAATTGAAGCACATTAGAATAATAAAAAAATAAAAAAATAAAAGCAACTAAAGGGTGTCTGGGCTCTACTTGGAACTCAAGGCCAGTCTAAAAAGACAATCTTTAAATGAGATTTAAAGTACCAGTGCCAGGTCAGTAGTAGAGTGAATATCAAGTTCCACAGTTTTGGAGCAGCCACAATAAAAGCACCCCACAGGCGAAGAAAATGTTAAGGGCTATTATTTGAACACTAGCTATCAGTGGGTTCAATAAATGGCACCTTCTTGTTGGACAGATCAGTGTCCAGTTCAGTGTCCAGTTCGTCTTCAGAGTCTTCCTTCTTCTGCTCCTGCATGTCCTTCATCTTAATAAGAAGTTCAGCTTTGGGAGCAGATGTGCTGTAATATGTAGAACTGGTCACCATGGTGACAGCTGTGGCCATACTGTCCTCCTTTTCCCTGAAATACAAATAACACACAAGATGATGATAAAATCAAAGAACCACAGATGGTTTCTTCAGTGGCACACGAGTCATTAAAGATAACCATAGATTCAAAATTTTCTCACACTTGGGGGTCGCTGTGGTAGCACATACCACATAACATGCACGGTTCTACTCTTGCACTACAACAACTGCATCAAGGTCTTTACCGTGCATGTTATGTGGTAGCACATACCACATAACATGCACGGTTCTACTCTTGCACTACAACAACTGCATCAAGGTCTTTACACAAGTCACTGCTCAGGTGATCATCTTGACCCGACAGCCTAATACCATGGCTCCCCAACTCTTGTCAGATGCTTCCTCTTTTTTCCACCGGCACAGTCAGAGCGGCAGAACATGGACCTTCCAACCCATTGCTTTTAGCTAACTTGCCATTTATCTGTTGCTTTTAGTTAAGTCCTTCATCATCACTTTCACCTGATTGTTTGAATTGTTTATCCATTACTTTCAGCTAATTATTCTGCTATCTTACTAACAAGATGCTGCCTTTTCTGTGGCAATACATTAAAGGTGTTATAACTACCTGATGTTGTTAGGAGGTGTGCGCAGTGCAGCAGCCTACTGTATAACAACAACAATAAATTTAGTAACTATCAATATCACACCAATATGGATGGCACCACGGGGATGCTTATTTTAGTCCTGAACATGAATATGTGAGTATATGTCTGCTGCTTTCTGTCAGCAGGACCTAAAGGTCCACAGTGGGAGGATGTTTTGTTTTTGTCCTTGGTAGCATTTTTGTGAATGAAACAACAAATTGTGCACAACATGTAGCCTTATATAGCAGTTTGGGGGGGACAGATTATACAGATGTTCAGTTCTCACACTCATGGACATACTCAGGAAGTGGTGGCGTTCATCAAGTCATAACAAGCAATTTGCTTGTACCAGCAAATCTCACAGAAAAAAAAATTAAGTTTGAGTTTTAGGAGGAAATACTAAATTGTTAGAGGCCTAATGACTTTTTCCAAGGTGTGCATAAATATCCGCCTAGTCATGGTTACGAATTACTTTTACCTCATATGTCAAACCCAGATGATCAAATGTGGGTCTTGGAGTGAATTTGAGGGTTTGTGCATGTCAAAAACAATGCATACACTGACAGTTGGTACACACAGTAAAGGTCAAACAAGGACAAGTGAGTAGGTGGACTATATAACAACAGAGGAGCTAAATGTGTGGCTGACCTTTCCTCAGCAGGCCTGGAGGCTGTCTGTTTCAGGGGAACTTTCTTCCTCTGGTGGTGGGTTCCTTCCAACAGCTGCTCCCCTTGAGGGAAGATACCCTCCATCAAGTCCATGGTGGTTTTCATCTTGCTCTGATCCAGAATATCAGCGAGGGACTTGTCCTTGCCCATGATGTCCCTCGCCAGCTCCTCCCTTTTCTGGTCCTCTTCAGTCAGCCCTGTGGTTCCAGCTGTCCTGTTGCTGCTGGGCTCATCTGTGGGCTGCTGACTGCTGGAGTGGATACGATCTCTGGCAGTGGTCAGGTATGTGTCTCTCTGGGCTTTTGGGTCAGTCTGGGCAGCCGGTATACCATTGGGCTCCCTCTGCCGTGTAAAGGCACAGTAGACGGAGTCCTGCCCTGTGACTCCCAGACTGCCCCGTCTGTTCACATCAGGACCCTCAGCTTCAACAGCAAGGGAGTCACTGTGCTGCACAAACGGACCATTCTCCTGCTCTGTGACCCCATCTGATTGAACAATCCTGATGGGCACTTTCTTCACTACAGTATTTTCGTTTTCTATCACATGCTCCATCCTGAAATAGCACAGAAAGCAAGAGGAACAGTCTTACAAAAAGAAGCTCCAAGAAATTTCTTGCTGCAGTGCTCCAGCCATATGCTAATTTAAATTTTCATTGCATGATGGCAACTGAGCTTTTTTTCCAAGCCCAATATGATGGAAGATCCAAGGCGTGGTCCCACCACTGTGGTTTCTGCTAGCTGTAATAATCCTACTGTGCAGTCACAAGTTCGCTACAGATGATATCAATTAGTCTTGAGTCCAGAGGATAAACAAACAGCTTCATGTTTGGGTTTTTAGATTACATTTTGCTAAAATATGCCTATACCGCCACTGTGTCCCTCTAATTTACTGCAGCTTGACAACACTCACAAATTGATTCTACAGAGGCTGACTCTCAATAAGCTCCTTTGTATATGTAGCATAAAGACATAATGGATAAGGGAGTTACAGTCACTGTGTTCTGACAAACTGGGGAAGTACTTTGCAGTTCCAGCAATACTGTTCACTTAAAATCTCCTGTCTGATGTGATAAATAAAGCTTACCTGTGCGAGTCTTCATCCTGCAGAGAGGCTGGAGGCTTGTCGCTAAGTTTCTGTGAAGAAAACTGTGGAGCTGGTGAGTGCTGCCCCTCCATACTGGCCAGCCCTGAAGATCTGTAGGAGGAGGCTGGGGGAGAGGAGGCAGGCTGGGGATTGGATGTTGACAGATGTTCTGCCCCTTGTCCTTTGTCCACAAGTCTTTTGCTTTGCTCAGAATCTCCCTGTGCAGAGAGGGTGGGGTCAAAGGCGGAGTTAGGATCAGTGTTAGGAGAGCAGTGGGTGAAGATTTCAGTTGGGGAGCTGGTGAAGGACTCGGCGGAGTCTGATTCTGGGCATCTGGGTGGGGAAGGCTCCTCCAGCACAGAGGGCTTCATCCACAGTCTGGGCAGTGGCTCGGTGTGGCTGCGGTCCTCAGGTTGAGGGAGGGCAGACTCTGTGAGATTGCTGTGGTTCACGGTGGCAGTAGTAGCACTGTGTCTGCAGTCGAGGTTGGCTACTGTCATGGACGAAGGGGGTGGCGTTGAGTAATGCTCAAACTCCACAGGCTTTTGTCTCACTTTACAGTCACCGGTCCCTCTCTCAGAGAACCTGAAGAACACAACAGAAAGCTTTTAATTACACAGCAAGGCAGCACGGACCATCATCTGCAGCTCAATCAAATAATACACTGTGGCAGAGGCCTTGTTCATCTCTTCAGCAGCTGCTATGATTAGGACTATGCCAGCATGACAAGGCGCACACCTCCCTCTCTCCTGAAAGCCTACTCTTTGGTAAATGCTTAGCTGGCAGCCTGAACAGGAATATTTCAGTTCCCACAAAGTCTGCACAGAGGAATAAATAACCCTCCACTGCAAAGAAGATCAGATCACTTTTTCCTGCCTAATTCAGATTTAAAGTTTTAACTCTTTGGAGGTAAAGTTAGACATGGAAGAGGATGTGAAAGACGGTGTTAGAAGATCACAGCAGTCAGAGGCCTGATAGTGAACCAATGGAGCTGAAGTGATTGCATACCAAGATTTGGACCAGAATGTGTCCTAGGCTTAAGCATATTTTAACCATACAGCAAAATACAGTGAAATGCCTTCATTAACTAAGCCATCTAGACTATATGGTAAGCATGCAAGCCTGTCTAATACTGTGGTTTCATCCACACAGATTATATTTCCATGTATACTCTGATGCAAAACTGTACTGGTTCTGCATTCACAAGATATGGTACTTGTGAACAGGCAGGCACCATAACTCAAACTCCAATGTCAGTTCTTGCAAGCTGTGACAGGTTACCCAATGTACAACTGTTGTTGCAGCTTATGCCCTCCCTCATGCCTTTGCCTCAACTTTGGATAGAGTGTGACAAAGTTATTTTACACAAACAATAATCATGATGCCAGCAATATCCTGTAATTATGTTGCTGTAGGTATTCAAGGCAATGACATTTATACTGTATATGTCAGAAAAGATTATTAAAGGTCAGTGTTTGGGCAGTAGGGATAGACAACTCCAACAAGACAAGAAAAGAATTCTAGTTGTTTTGTCTTTTTAAATACAAAACCATGGCTGCATTATATATGTATCATACAGGTATATTCAGGATACCATATGTGTAAAACAGAAAAGTACCAACTAGGTGATATTTGACTATTTTCATTTCCATGGAACAGAAGTGAAAGTAAATGTGCTGTCTGTCTGCTGGCTCTCTGTGTTGGTATCTCCTTACGCATGCATCAGTAACACTATCTGGGCAGAACACTCCTCACTTCACTCATCTCTCAGACTTCTGAATGACAATAACATCCTCTGTACTGCCGGTGTGGCTGCTACAGGGAAGTTGCTCAAGACGAAATACTCTACACCCTTCAATGAGTTTCACCTTTGGGAGTTTAGATAATGGATCAACACAGCTGAGCAGCAGGGTGTGAAGTCATCTTGACTGTTACAATACATAGTTCAAGAATGATTCTAAATAAGAAAAAACTTAGAACTTAGAAAAAACTATCATGTTTAAAAATATTGACATTAGAAATAATTAGAAATAATTCCATCTATAGATGGAGTAGACAGATTATTGTATAAACCTCCATGAACTATTAAACCAATCTTGATTAAAGGGTTACTCCAGAAATATATTTTCATACTTCCATAAAGTTGAGAGTCACAAGAAACAGAAAAAGAATGATCAACAATCAAGGCAGCTGACACCTAATTTTTAGTCCTCAGAGAGGTCAAGCCCTAAAACAAAACGGTGAATCCCACATTTCCTATAATGCAATTAACTAGAGTTGTTCATTAAATCCCCTCTAAAGGGGGCAGATGCCCACTTCTTTCAAACCCTACACCTCCACTTTGTAACACTGGCTTTCTGCTGATTTTTGAAATCTCAGGCCAAAGATGAGAAAACATGATGTCATCAGGTTTATTTTATTTGAAAACCTTCCCCAGGAGCCATTTGGACCAACTGTGCATAAGTTCAAACTTAGTTCTAATGCAAGTGTTTACTAAGAAATTGGAGATTTACAGTATGCATCACTAATGGGCTGCACCAAACAAACTAGTTCTTGTCTAGAGGTTAGTTGCTACTAAATATTTACACCCCATAGGCTGAGTGTTACTGTAGCTACCTGAAACAACTGGCAACATTAACATTAGCTTGTTAATATCTGACCCATTTACACTGCAGAGCTAAGAGGTCATATCTGACCATAAAACATGCTAAATGTTTTTCATAATACTGTCAGTCTTCAAAAAATTAAATATTGAACTTGAATAACACCATATACCTCAAATTACAAAACAATACGACAGTAACATTTGATACCATGAGTAAATAATATCAGTTAGGCAAGTATAATTGTATATTTCCTACTCACTTATTCCTTGAATACTACATATTCTGAAACACATATTTCTACATAAATAAACCTAAGTAATACATTTATAAAAAGTATATCTTTTGGTCCTCTGAAACTGTAATTTTTTAAAGTTATACTAGCTTTTGATGCTGCAGTGACTTCCTGTTTTCATAGCTGATTGCTGATCATTGGACAGCACTGTTGAGTCTTTTCAAGGTGAGACAATTTCACTGGTGCAACTCAATTTAGTAAATCACTAGTCTGAAACTAGCTAGTTGTTACTAGGAACTTAGGAAGAACTTTACATTCAAGCTTACTATGTATTTATGAAGAGCTGGTGGAACCAAATCCAGAGCCACATAAGATAGGTGAACAGGCAACAGCTGACTTCAGACTTTAACTTTAAACAATAGTCTTTCACAGCTTTCCTAAGCTGTGATGTTCATACAGGATAATCAAAGAATTAACTGAAATAATCAGCATTACCTGTAAACACTTCTACCCCACCCATAAAACAAACCAAGAAGACAGGTTTAACCCAGTGTGACCAAACCACTTTATATTCACAGCTTCATAGTATTGACATAACTGAAACCTACTCCCAGTCTTACACACAAGTCCAAAACAAGTTACAGTGATAGGTTGGCCTGCATTTATCTAGCTGTTCCCACCTTCTGTACCTTTCATCTAATAGTTTGAAAGAACAAAGACATCTTTCCATAATTTATTTTTCCTTTAGATGTAAAGGCGAAACAGGAATGTACAGCCATGCTAGCAGCTCTGTGAGGCTGTATTTACGCATAGCTTTGAATGCTAATAAGCTCATAATGACTATACTGACAAAAACATGCTTATGTTTAGCATGTATGTTCACTGTGGTGATTATCTTAGTTAATTCTTTTTAGTGTGTTAGTATTCCAGTGTTTTTTTTTAATTTGCCATTAACTTTGTAGGTACTTGGTTATCAACCACTGTATTGGACCTAGTGAAAATCTGACCTGGTGGTAGCACTAAAGGAAAAGTCAAGATGATCACCATTGTCACTAGGATCCATCCTCTGAACACAATGGATGTCGATACAAAATTTCATGACAATCCATCCACTGCCACCCACAGAACCAAGCTGCTAGTTTGGCCAAAAATCCAGTTATGCACAATACCGGGTTTTACTGATGATAATTTCATGCCTTCGGTTGCTCTCTGAACTCGGGTCCCCCACTGCATTCCAATAGAGAGCCAAGGAAACACTTCTTCTCTATCACAATCATGCCTCGCCTACACCCGTAAGCTTTCAGTGAATGACACAAAGTGCAGCCAGAGAGAGGGCTTATGTTGTCGCCACTGCGGCGAGGCAATGCCACTGGTATTTCTTGACAGATTAAAAGCCTTCACTGTTCCTCTACAGTCTCACTGGCCTCTATCACTGATAAAGCTCATGAGCAGAAACATAGTAAGACACATTAAATATGCTGATAGAAACAAGAAGACTGATGCAAGAGCAAAACAAGTAAAAAAGATGAAACACACACTGTCAGCTGTCAGTCCCTAGAGTCAAAATTCAAATGCAAAAACACTGATATTTTTGCATTTGTATGGTATACTGTAGTGTATAGTGAAGACAAGCAGGTTATACTGAATAAGAATTTCTCACCCAGTTGCAGCGGGGAGCTGCTCAGCAGGTTCACTCTCTGACTGCGAATATTCTGCTTCAGACTTTGTTGTAGGAACTGGAATCTTCTGTAAATAAGTTGAACAAACATATAATCTATTATGAAAAAACTATCCACAAAAAAGAGGCTTCCAGTTATCCCACATGCTGCTAAGTCTTTTGTTAATTATTCTAACCAACTCATGTTGCAGCTTCCTGGTTTTACATAAATGAAAAAGAATGGAGCAGGTTGATGCCCCTCTCCGTTTCTTAAGCCAAGGGTGAGTCATCATAAACAAACATAGATTAATGTTTGACTCGGCTTCTTCCTTTGTTGCTTTCACTTCAGTCAGTCTGTTTGTATTAATGAAATGTGAAGCCACCTCCAGGGCTTGATTAGCGACCAACACCAAGTTACAACCAAGACCTCTCTTTTGTTGATTAGTCTAATAGAATGTTTGTCATTTTCAGTGAATTAACAGTCAGACTTTGTGCCTCACCTGCCCATAAATGTCAGCTGATGGAGAGGATCTAGACCTCTCATGGAGACACGTGGTTTTGGTTCTCTCCTCTGGACCTGGATCCAGGATGTTATCAGCCGACCGGTACCGTCCTGAGGCTCTTATCTCTAGAGGTTTCTTCTGTATATTCCACCTTGCCTCATACTCAGCAAAGGTGCCTAGTCGTTGCTGATCTAGGATGGGCAGCTTTTGGGTAGAGTAAGGAACTCCATGGGTCTCCTCCGTGTACTCTCTGCTTCTGGTCTCTTTCTGTGTGTTCTTTGTTGCACTGGTTGAGGCAGGATCTTCGCTCTGGTTCTCAGTATAGCTTTCAGTGTAATTTGGGAACCCTGGATTCCCACTTTCTTTAAAGAGCTTCTGCTGGTCTAGTGAGGAGCTTGCATTTTCACTGTGAAGGAGCTCTTCTTTCACTCCTACTTCATGGATTTTGTCAGGCTCAGAGAAAGATCTCACCTTCTTTTCTGTAGGAAATCGCTTCCGGCCACCAATGCGTGCTAGCTGACCAGTAGCATGCCCTGATTTATTTGTTAATGACTCTGTAACAGTTGGCAGAGGGGTGACATCTTTGTGGGTCAGTGCTGAGGATGAGTAGTTAGACAAGGCCTCAACTGCAGTATTCTCCATTAAGACAAGCTCCAGGTCTTTCCTCTTGAAAGAGGTAGCCTTGAGCACCCTTGCTTGTGCTTCCTTCAGATGATCCTTGTAAGTGTTGGTGAAGGATCTATCTGGTGAGGCTGGGGTGGTGCTTTCAGTAGACATCCAAACATCCTGATCTTCTTTAGCTGCACCCTCAGCACTCTTATTGCTCTGCATCTTGGCTCTTCTCATCTGAATTTCATTCCTTAATATGGTGGCAAAACGATCACTGCATTTTATCTGCTTGTTTTCAAGAGATTCGTCAGAGACTGTGTCTCTTGTTTTCTCATCTTGACCTGCAGCATCCAAGGACAGAGAGTGAAGCATGGGGGTTACATGAGGGCTGATATTATTGCTCACTTGGCTCTGATGTCTGATGTCTTGAGGTAATTCTTGGTGTTGCAGTGGCAGAGACTGTCGTTGTTCAGATTGTCTGCTAGGGGGATAACTTGTGTACTGAGTTTCTGCATTTTGTCCTCTCTGGCTTCCCCTATCTTCAGAGAAAGGTTTAGGTGCAGAGGTTTCTAATGCAGTGCTAACTTGGTGCTTGTTGTGTCCATTGCTGTCTTTACTGTGCGTGGAGTGTTGTTGGGGCACATGATACTTCACTTTGGTGGCTGTCTGTGGGCTAACAGAGTTCTGCTCATTTCCACTCTGTGTCAGGTGAAGACCTGTGACACTCCTTCTGTCCTCTGGTTTTCCCAACAAGGGCTGGAGGTTTGACTGTGTGGACTGGCTTGTTGTGGCAGAGTAGTATCGGCTATGCCCACTGCTGTCAGTGTTTTGGTCAGTGGTTGTGGGAGATGGGGAGGTGCTTAAGTTCCTTCTCTGGTTCTGACCAAAGTGTTGTGCAGAACTCTTAGTAGGCAACTCTTGCATGCTATAGTAGTAGCCACCTACGCCCTGTGACTTTGGTACAGATGTAGGCCAAGGCTGAGAAGAGAAAGTAATTTTGTCACTACTATGGTGTCTTTGATGGGAGGGCTGACCTTGCTGAACATCACTGCTGGACAGGGAGTACTGCTTGTTTGAGCTGAACTGGTTATGATTGGAATTATCAGAAGACAAATCGGTGCCATTTTTCAGGGATAAACAGTGGCTACGGCGATTTTCAGTGGAGGCCTTCCAGGGGCCATATGAATCAGGTCCTTCTGTTTGAGCTATAACCAGCCCCCTTTCATGTACCTTAGTTGCAGCAAAACTATCACTGCGTGTGGGTGGAGGTGGTGGGGGAGGAGAGGGGGAAGCAGTCTTCTTTTTCTCAGGTACATGCCAAACAGGTCCAAAGCTGGTTCTACTTGAAGTGGAATGGCGGGACACAGCCAGTTCCTCAGTCTGTGGACCCTCACAACCTAAGCTAACTCCTGGTACCTGAAAGTACGCCACCCTTTCATCCTGTTTGACTCCTTCAAGCATACTCTGGGTGTGTCTGCCATTGTTGTGCTTTCCTCCTGCATCCCACTGGTTGACTTTATAAAACACATTCTCTGTTGAGGCAGCATTACTCTTTGAGAGGGTGTAGTCCGGTGTGCTAGAGCTAGTGGAGAAGGAGCCGTAGGCAGAGTCTCGTTTCCCTCCTCCAAGGTGCTCCATACTATTGTTGAACTTGGCAGGTGACAGCTGACTGGTGGGGTATGGATGTGTGACATGTTCTAGACTATCCATGCTGCCGAGAGAGCTGAACTGGTCAGACACTCTGTGCAGGTTTGTCTGCTCCCAGCCAGTGGAGAGGTCAGTTGAGGAGGAACTGGAGGTCAAAGAAAATGTGAGAATGAAAAACACATCAAACCGGTTTTTATTCTGTAAAAGTAGAAATTTACCTAAAGAGTGCTGCTGGTAAACTAGTTATAAACTATGGTGGCCATTTCATGGCAGCCAGTTTAGAGCTAATAAGTATTAGCGCATAAGCATTGTGCTGGAGTCAAATTCCTTGCATTTTTGGCAATAGCATTTATGCTTATGCTCACTGGCCATAAGGCTTATCAGTGTATACAGAAACATTAGCAAACTGTTTAATGTACACTAAATGCATTAATAATCTTTAATTTTTATGCAGGAGTATAGGATCCTTTTCCATGATATTGCCACATCATCATCATATCTCGCTGGGCATAAAAATAATCTTGAATTTTTTAATGTCATCTTGGCAGCTATTAAATCAGTTTGGAAAGGAAAGTCCCTTTAAACATAATAGTGTAAAAGGCAAAGTTCAAGATCCCAGAGCTACCTTGCATCATATCTGGAGTGCCAGACTGGCGTGGGTGGAGACTGTGTTTTGGCAGTCTCTGATTGGCTTTCGTTGAACTTGGTGGAGTGCCAGGAGTGAGGCCTGTTTATGGGTTCATTCCTCCTAGAGAGAGGGCAAATACACACACTAGATTAGAGACCAACCTCTTTTAGACTGAGGCATTGATTTGGAATGTTTCTGATTCGCTACAGCATTCACAGACAGAGGGTTTTTAATCTACATATCTGCTTAATCACAAACTTTGTACAATTGTCAGTTACGCATATGAAACATACCCTTTTAAGCATTTTTTTCTGAATTGAATATCAAAAGAACATTTCAACACATCAGGATAACATGACATAAACCTTACCTAAATACAATTACATTTCCTTACAATGTAATAGACACAAAACATATATACACGTCATACACAGACAGTGTACTGCATGTTGTACAAATGGGATGAACATCTTTCATCTAATGAGACTAACAATGTGACAACTCACAAGGGCATGCCAGTGAGAGCAGGTAATAAACCACAGGAGAAGGACAGGTGCTATGAGACAAATGGAAATGATGAATGATTGATATTATTATGGTCACAAGCCAAACAAGAAGGGAGGGGCGGAGAGGAAAGGAGGGAACAGGTACTACTGATTACAATGAAGCCACAGAGCCATACCTCATGGAACTTCGCAAAATCTTCATAAGAAAGCTTCTTGCCACATGCACGTCATTCTCTGAAGGCATTTTGTGAGATACAATATCCACCATTTTCATATTCCTAGGCAGCAGGGGGAGGAACGCACACATACACACACACACACACACACACACACACACAGACAAAGCGCTCACAAATAACTGACTGGACTCTCAGAAGACAAACACCTCCAAGTATAGCATTTAGACTTTTGGTGCTAATTTTAATTTTGCCCTCACTATGGCACCGCAGACAACTCAGTGTGTTGGTCTCAAAGCCTCACTAGGGCACAGGTTTCCTAATCCAACTGAATTATTACAGAGCGCTCATAGTTCACCTCATAATCCACCACTGTAATATGTAGTCCACAGAAGTATAAATAGTTGCTGACACATGATGTTATAGCCCCCTCTGTTGGCCAAACTAGTGCATTCTCATGTTGCATTTCATGGAAGCTCAGAAATGAGAAAAACCCTACAACACAAAAAATAATAACATCCCGAATCATCGTTTTCCTTTTCTCTCATTAACAAAACTGTCCGTAGCTGAGGTGAGCTGGTTGTGCTCAGATCTTGCCATATGGTCCCAGTGGGAACACAACTCCAACATGGGGCAGGGGGCTTAAGAGAATAGAGATTCTTTATCAGATCAGCCACCTTACCCCTCAATCCAAGCTGTCGTCTGCCTCCCAGACAGCTTTTCTGTGCTGGATGAGGATCAAAACTGACATCATTTGACAGGCACAAAGGCCTTTGGCAATCATTTAGTATTTACAGCTGTAGTAATGTAGTTTGTGTAATGTGGGGGTTACCTGAAAAAAAAACAAGGGATTATTCAGTTATTGTGTAATCATATATAAACAGGTTCCTGCTTGTATGACATGGCTAACTCCACAAACTTGGGGAATTTAAAAAGGGTCCGGGTTATTCTGTGACTTTTGGTAAGCTTTTACACATTAGCCTTTGACTCTTAACAAAGGACTATTCAGGTTAGACCTTGGAAACTAGTTTTACTAAGATGGTACTAGGAAACATTAGTGTTATAGTGGTATAGATTTTTAGACAAAGCTTTACTTGCTTTCATTCTCAATTCTCAGTGCTTTCATTCTCACTTGCCCTACAAAGCCATGAGTTCAAGAGGTCCTGCCCCCTTATTCACCTTGTTTAAAGTCGTTCAACAATTTGATGACAAAAGGTCCAAACAACAACTTTGTTCAGATCAAGATCTGAAAACAAACCACTGACTAACATAATAACATGAACTATTATGTTAGCATCAATTTCACATATTGACCACTTTCAGATTGAGACAGAGATTTGGTTAAGCTCAATAAAGTGGGACATTTCAACAAAATTAATCTTGGATTAGAGGTTGGCCTATTTAGAGGACAAAGAAAAGCCAACATGGAGCTCTGTCTTCCTTGTCCCTTCACAGTCCGTGTTTCTGGGGCAGTAGGAGCTAGCCACACATGGCACTTTCTATTGGTATGCAAATGAACCTGGCTTTATTAGGCCTATCGTCAGGGCTACAGCTGGGCTGGCACAGATATGCTAAGAAAGTGAATCAGTTGGCTGGAATGGGGGCAGGGGGAGGCTGCTTTCTGAGTGATCATTTTAGAGCCCCATCTCACTTCGCTTGTTCCAGTACCAACCAGTCCACATAAGCACCCTGCACTGAAGACTTGTTAAACATCCTGACAAATTTAAAAATTCCTTAAAACTGAAAAGCTTGAGGAAAATATTCAAAGATGATTTTATTTTGCCTATAAGCAGTTTTTCCCCAAGTTTCATTTACATTTGATTTTGAAATTCTATGTCTTGCTATTCATGGTTTGACCTAAATGATGCATGACCTCATGCTGAATGATAAGACAAAAATAATAACAGCAATAACTAAGCATTAGGGCCAAACTAAAGAAATCCCCAATATGTTAAATGTCCCCGACTCGTTCATCTCAACAAAACAAAAAGTGGCTGGCATGACGGCCTGCAAACACAGGCGTTAAAAAGTCTAACGCTCAGCAAGTGAACAAAGCAGAAGTTTCTTTTGACTCACCAAACACCTGGATGAACATATTCAAAATGGATGCAAGAAAGAGATGTATTATCCAAAAGATTCCAAAATAATATTGGACTGGAGCTTAATTTCGAGGTGAGGCCAGTTGAACCAGTGCATTCCAGACACTTCAAAGACAAGCCAAACTAAAAGACAGATGCAGACCATTACGCATCATAGCATGACTAAGTCTAATTCAACACTACCTGCAGGTATACACTAACTGATAACTCACAAACATTATATTTGACACAGAATGGTCATCTAAAACTAGGTTCTCCTAGCAGAATTAGTTTGAATAGAGGGATTTCCTTCAGGATTATGGGGGTTTGCTCCCTGAGCGGGGGTTGTTGGAGTGTACAGAGGAGGAGGAGGAGGGCTAGTGTTACAGCCAGTCCCTTTGGACTATTCCCATATCTTGCCTTATCCCATTGGCTCCAAGGGGCTAATATGCTAATGATGGGATGAAATGCAGGACTCTTCTCTTCCCATCTCCCCTGTTGTGAGGCAGACATGCAGTCCTACCATTGCTATAGCAACAGGTTGATCTCTAGGCTACAAGGGCACCCAGTTTCCTGAAAGCCTGGAGGAATGAGTATTGCAAGTGCCCAAGCAGGAATATCGGCAACACACGGCAAATACAATTTGTATTCTTCTGACTAATACATTTTGTTGTACTTCTTTCAGACTGCGTTTAACTGATCTTGAACTTAAAATAGGGAGAATATACATTAATACCTCATGCTAATTAAGCTTAGATTGCTTGTTATTTTAATGCCCGTTACTCATAAAGAATATTTAGATTGTATTTAGTGAATGAATTGATAAGATTACGACAAAGTGGGCTCTGTTTACTTTAAATTAAGAATCAGTATTGCACTTCATGACACAGCTCCTTCCTATTTAGCAGTGTGTCACTTCCTTCTTCCCGTGATTCTATTTTAATGAATTTTCCTCTATTTTTTTATTTGACAGTTTTTTAAAACAATTATTCATGCTCATGACTAGTCTTATGGCCTCTTGTTATACATACTGTACATACACTACTGGCTCATTTCATTTGGATCTTATGTTATTTATTTATTGACATAAGCATTAGACATTAATAAACATTTCTGCAGGAGTGCTAGTGATAGCCAGCCAGCTAACTGTCAACTGATGTCCTTTGACAAGAAAACTAATGAAGTGAAGAGTTAAAAAAAATTGTGACCAAATTAACAGGCTGTGCCTGCTCTTGCAGGTAATGGATGTGACTGATCTCATAAAGATCCTCTAATAATAATAATAATAATAATTATAATACATACATACATACATACATACATACATAATACATAAATAATATCCTTTACTTAAAACAAGTACAGGTAGTGATTTCTGTAAAAGAACAGACTTCTGCAACTGTGACTTTCACATATGAACCTGGTTCTGTAAAGAAAATAAACAATTCAAGAGTGCTAACTGTTGTGCAGTCCAAATGAAGTTTTATTTGCTGGGTAATGACTTTACACAGCAATGGATTTGATAAAACATTTCTCATGAAAAACTGAAATCTGCAATCAAAACAATATATGTTTATTTTGTTATTCTTTATGCCAGTTTAACTGTTCAGGCTTTTTCAGAAAGACAGCCATTTCCATCCATTTTCTATACCGCTCAGTCCCAAACGGGGTCACGAGGGGCTGGAGCCAATCCCCCCCAGCTGCGGGCGAAAGGCGCACCCTGGACAGGTCGCCAGCCCATCGCAGGGCCAACACACAGACGAACAACCACACACACACACGCACGCACTCCTACGGGCAATTTAGAGACACCAATCAACCTATGCTGCAGGTCTTTGGACTGTGGAGGAAGCCGGAGCACCCGGAGAGAACCCACGCAAGCACAGGGAGAACATGCAAACTCCGCACAGAAAGGCCACAGGTGCCACTGTGCTGCCCTAAGGATAATCACCTTTATTAGCCAAGTATGTTACACACAAGGAATTTGTTTCTGGTACAGAACCGATGGCAGCCATCTGCGGCGCCAAATCAACCAATGTCTCTAACCATCAGGGGTGGGGTTCAGTGTCCTGCCCAAGGGCACTTTGACATGTGGACTAGAGGCACCGAGATTTGAACCTTCAACCTTGTGGTTGGGAGACAACTGCTCCTCCCACCGCACCACTGTCGCCAGAAAGACATCAGCACAGTAAATGCAGTCATACTTGTTTAAATGGTTGCCTTTAAGTAACAACTATGATAAATGGTATACATGGGGGAAAGAAGTGTTTTTTCTTATTAAAACGTGCTGTGGCACACCAGCAAGAGGTCTGGTGGAAGGTAAGAAGATTAGTAAAGAATGGTCACAATGCAAATCTGATAGGAGAGCAACAATATTCAGTGACCTCTTGGGAGGGAAGAAATCAAGCATACAATCCAAACAAGCTTGGTTTTTACTGTGAAGAACAAACAAATACATTTAGTTATCAACAAGTTTTTTTTACTCAACCAAGGTGTGATTGCCCTATTAAAAGTGTGCCATTCAGTGTGTGACTTATTACAGTCAGATACAACATCTGACTAAATGAAGTGCAGCATCATGTACAATACTACTGAGCAGGAAAATGCTGAGGTTGTAAGCAGCCAACCTGCACTCTGCAGGTGAGCCCGTGGATTCCATTTGGTCCCTAATGGTCTGACAAAGGCCTTCTTCAGCAGCCCCTACAATCAAACCAGTCATACTTCGGGTGAGAGAGGTGAACCGTGAGCAGCATGTAATGACCAGCACATTCCTGAACTGAGTGCCATACCAAATGTCAAATCACCGGCTGCCTGCACTGACCCACAGCCCAGAAACACCTGGAAACTTTTTGTATGAGGGTGAGGGTCTCAACAACATCACTATCACCCCATGTCTACGTCCCCTTGCTTTAAGGCACATCCTTATTACTACTCATGGGACAATCGATGGCTAAGAGTGCAGGTATAAAGTCACCAACTTAAAGCAAGCAGGTCAGCCTCTCTTTTGCCTGTTGTTACTGTCACAGCTGAAGTGTGAAAGAACACCAGAACACACGCCACACAACAAATAAAGAGTGTGGAGATTAATTAGACTGTAATGATAACCGGCCACAATCAATCCATAAAAGTCGATTATTATAGATGATAATGCAAGCAAATATGCAAAAAAACCCTATCAAAACTGTTGAGAGCTATGTACTAATTAAATTGTCAGCCATGACATGCTTGTACTGTTGTTACCTGAGTGTCAGTATCCTCATAAACGCTTCTAATAGCTATGAGATGACAAAACAATTCTAATGTTAGAAGTTTACCAGTGATTAGGGAGAAACACTAGCAAAAGACAGTAAAGATATTACAATTACTACTGAGCAACCGCTCAAAGGAAGTATATTTTTGTATTTGTTTATCTGACTGTATGGTTTAATAAAAAGAGACTTTATTCAAAACCTTCTTCTTGCAAAATGACCTTGGTGATGGAACAAAAACAAACAAAGGGTAACACTGAAATCTCAAAACTATTAATTCATTAGCTAAAACCCAAACAATTTTAAGAAATGTACTTGTGACAATAATTCAGCGCACAGTATTTCAAACATACTACATAGGCTTATTTATAAAAACAAATACCAGTACATGTACAGTAAACCATTGCACTACACCCCTTACTGAATGCTTGCATTGCAACTTCTTCCTGTAAGCTTTTTCAGGTGTAATTGGATTGTGCACCAACCTTTGCACAGGCTTTGTTTATCTATTGGTACTGGAAGTAATATTTTTGAAACTACTCAGGAAAGCTTTACCCCTCTGCTACAGTAGAAAATGTCTCTCTCAATGCCAAATAAAGAAGTTTGTTATTGGCTGTGTCTGTCTCTGAGTGTCAGCCCTGTGATAGACTGGTGACCTGTCCAGGGTGTACCTTGTCTTTCGCCCAGTGCCAGCTGGAATTGGCTCCAGCCCCCCGCCCTAACCCTCATTAGGATAAGCATTATAGCTAATGGATGGATGTTATTGGATGTGGTACTTCTGTAACTGTGCCAGAAGGGGGAAACCAAATGCCATAACAAACCTCAAGCTTCATGTGTAAAGTTTAATGATTCACTCTGCTGTGTTAGCTGCACATACTGCAAATTCTTCAAGGGAGAGGAAAGGAAAGCAGGCCAGACTGCGTAGGTCCTGGTGGAGACTAAAATCCTAACAGCCCCAACCCAGAAAAGTAGTCAAAATAATGTGAACACGTTATGGAAAAAACAGTGAAGTGCTGTTTGTACCATTTGCTTCCTTGCTCTTAGTAAAGTTCATACCACTGGTGTGAAGACAAGTGCAATCCATATACAATGTGATTAAGTATGACTAATGAGAATTCATCGTCGAACTGGCTGCACCTAGCCAACTTACCTGTACAGCTTGTGGATTTACAAACAATAGCAAAGCTGGAATGAATGTAAATGTGATGTGTCATTGTGGGACAATTATAGTGCTTGACTGTATGCAATAATTAGTGCAGTCAGGTTTTAAAGAAATTTTCCGCAAAGCTTATATAACATCCAGCATTTAAGTTTTGTTTTAGATGTACTCAATTTCAGACTTCCTCGTTTGCCATTCTAAAGTTGAAGTACAGAATGCACGGTGAGTTTGTCGAGGCTTGTGCAAGAACGACAAGATGCTTTCTCACAGATAACCACACCTTTCTGTGACGTGGGTCAAGCCTCTCCTCTTCCCCTGACGTTACACCAACAATCTCACATTAGTCCCTGTATGCAAAATACATGACTTGCTAATTCAAGCACCTCCCTTTTTCTGTGTGTAATGAAACCACACCTGTAGACAGGAGCAGGTCCTGACAGCTTTCTGATCACTGTTCAACTATCCAACATTATCCCTGAGATAAGAAGAGAAGTGTTTCATAGCTGAACCCTGAATGCTCAGGCACAGGTTAAACTGTACATATAGTGATGTGGAATGGCACACTAAAATATTTTCAGACCACAACTCCAGTTTTCTACACAACATGCTGAATGCATATGGATGTAAAGAGCGAGAAACTGGACTGGAGCTTTGAAGTTAATACTAAATCAGTCTTGTTTTTGAGGCCCTGGAAAATGAGTGATGGGAGATGCTATTTCAGACTGTCAGAACAAAGTAAATTCTTCAACACTAACAAGAAAAAGGAACCAAGAGTCCTGTGGGACTATATATCTCTGTAAAATGCAATATGAACAATGTGACTCGTCCTTGAAAGAAAGTGTCTTTCCTCATTTAGAATCACAAACATACTGAAATGACAATTCTCAGATGCTTTAGTGATGCTGCCTGGACATCTGTGGTCTGATCTTCCCACTATAAGCTTCTCCCTCTGTTTCAAAACAAAAAATACATGTTGCAACCACAGCATCATGTCACAACAGAAACACATCTGACAACATGCCAGCTGTTCAGCATTAGATCAGCCATGATGCAGGACACTGGAAATTTTTTGGAATATTGGTCCTGCTTACAGAGTTTAGTTACCATTTAATTCCTCATATGTGGGCTTTTCTTTGCAGATGGATCCTAACTAGTTAGCAAATGATATTAGAGAATCTATTGTTTGAGGATATTGGATTAGGTTGCACAAAACAAACACTGATACCTACAGGGGGTAACAGAAACTTAACATTTAAGAACAAGCTACAGCTGAAATGCTACTACAAAAGGGGCTGTTAATGTATGTGCTTTATTACACAGTAGAACAAAAATATACATTTTCCAATTTCAAATCCAATGTTCCTGATTAAATTCCCCAGTTATCTCTTGGTATACGTGAAATATGCCAAACAATCATTTCTGTGATTTCTAAACAAACAAAAAACACCATCCTGAACCTACAGGCATATAAATACAGTACATGTCAAATCAAATGTGATTTGTGAC